CCATTTTATTGATCTGGAAGCGGGAAGCACACATTCTGCTAATACAAAAGCGAAAGAGAGACTGCAATGGAGGCCAGTGTGAGAGGCTGACCGCTTCTCGAGACGAGGCGCTCTTGCCTACTTCAGTTCAGCAAGCTTTGGAGGCTTTATGTACTGTATACTGGAGGTTCAAGGTCTAGAGTCTTAGGGTCGAAGTCGGATGGGTTGGTCTTGCATCGACTCACGTCTCACTGGGCGAGTTTATTCGGTACACTGTATGGTCGATGTATTTTGGCTTAAGGCACTATCTGCATTATCGAGCCACATGTTTTATCAAATATAATACTCTAAATTGCGCAAATGCTTTTTTCTCTTACACTCTCTCGCACACACACTTTCCCTTTCTATGACTGTCTGCCTGCCCCTCCCCCCTCCCTCCCCTCATTCCCTCCTTCCCTTCCTTCCTCCCTCTCCCTCCCCCTCACACCTCCTGCCCTCCCTTCCTTCTCCTCTCCTTCCCATTCTATCTGTCTCTCAGTTTTCTGCACTATTCATAGTCCCTGTAGTACGGGAAGTCAGAGTCTTGTAGGTGCTTCATAGTCCAAGCTTTGAAGGCCTTCACCTGCTCCTCCGTCAGGTGGTTCTTCCAGTCTCCCACCTGTGAGAGCAACTTGGATTAACGTTATCTGTGGCGTATTACTTTATATGCGTCGAGAAAGGTCTCGATCAATCCGTTTATATGCAAGCTCACGCACGCAAACTCAAGTCCACAGGAACATGACTTACTTGTCCTTTTCTCATGAATTTAATATTCTTAGTACGCTCCGAAGATGGTGCAATGATATCTTCATTGTTAACTGCTTTATTCTTGCTCATGCTGCCAAAGGAACAGTGGTCAGCCAGCTTCTCGACCTCCTCCTCCGTCACCGCCTTCCCCAGGAACTTGGCCACCTTCCTCACCACGGCCGGCAGGTCCTTGGGGGTAAGAATGGGTTCCCATTTTATTTATCATGTCAGCTCAGCAAATGCTTAGTCAAGTTGATCGGACAGATGGTCAGAGTGTTTGTTGTTATAACTTCAATCCTTCTTTTTGGACAGATATACGTTCTGTCACATTTTAGGCTGATAATAGTGATGAAGAAATCATACACATAAACTACATAAACAGTGAAGTGATAAGGGTAATTTTGGAAATAATACAATAAAATGGTACAACAATATAGCAACAGTCGTAATTCTACTGATAATGATGATACTCAAAACAATGGTCGTGAGCAATGGTCAACAGCAACAATGATGATGAAAACATAAACAAAATATGACATACCACTGATCTGAACAAAACGCTGCAGAAAGAAAGACTTCTAACGTAAACATGTGTTATCATAAGCAGGTTGCCAGCATTTTGACCGTTATTTTTATAAATTATTTATATTCTATTTAAGTGACGGTTACCCTGTTGTGGCCTTTTATTTATCTATCCTTAAAAGAAGTCTTTTATCCATTCTTCTCTTTACGATCGAATCCATTGTATATCACAGCCCGCCAGGAACCACTAACATGAACTTTCACACTACACATATATCCACTCTGTCACATGCCGCTTCAATGAGCACCCACCACCCCTTATCCTGCGCCGTGTCTGCAGGAGAGTTTTGCTGCTCACCTCCTTCATCTCCTCAAACCGCAGGAAGAGGATGTTACTCTCGTTCCTCATACGCCAGAAGTCCAGGACGTGAGACCAGAAGGGAGACCAGGTCACTGGAAGAGAATTGGGGCTTAAGCACGGGGCCGGCGGAAAGGGGCGCGAGACCTTTTTATGATATAAATTTTTACTTCACATAGTGTATAAAAAATTGAGAATGAGAGAGAGAGAGAGAGAGAGAGAGAGAGAGAGAGAGAGAGAGAGAGAGAGAGAGAGAGAGAGAGAGAGAGAGAGAGAGAAGAGAGAGAGGAGAGAGAGAGAAAATGAGAGAGAGAGAGAGAGAGAGAGAGAGAGAGAGAGAGAGAGAGAGAGAGAGAGAGAGAGAGAGAGAGAGAGAGAGAGAGAATGAGAGAGAGAGAGAGAGAGAGAGAGAGAGAGAGAGAGAGAGAGAGAGAGAGAGAGAGAGAGAGAGAGAGAGAGAGAGAGAGAGAGAGAGAGAGAGGGTGAGCAAAATAGATAGATAGATAGAGAGAAAGCGGGAGAGAGAGAGGAGAGAGAGAGAAAAAGAAAGAGCGAGATAGCCTGACAGACAGACAGATGGATAGATAAGATAGCTAGACAGCTAGAGAGAGCGAGAGAGCGAAGGGGACCCACTCATGTCTCCGAGGAACAGCTCAACAAAATCTTCCATCTGCCCCGTGTATCCGTCCAGCTTCACAGAATGGAAGTAATACGAGATGCAGACGTCGCGAGGATCCCTGCACACATACAGGATCTGCAGGAGTGAAAAGTTTTGTCCTGAAGCATCGCAAAAGGAAAAAAAATTACAGTCTATAAACGGAATAATACATTTCATTATTGTTTTGATTTATAGAT